GGTAAGTGATCTAGCACGGACTTACAATCTGCTGCTCTTTTCACTTTTTATTTTGAGGCAGTGTCTCATTAAGTTGTTGAGGTTAGCCTTGAACTTGCAGTCCCCCTGCTGGCAGCCTTCTGAGTAGGAGAGGTTACAGAACTGAATCAACAAACCCACTTCTAGACCAATTCCTAAATTTTAGGGTACATTAAGAATACATGGAGAGTTCTGAACACTCTGTATTTCTAGCAAAGTCCCTAGACATTGCTGGTACTCTGCCTCAGGAACTACACTTGGAAAACTACTCACTATCTAGTATCCTGAGTTCTCAAGCTAAGCTCACTACCTTAGAGCCCATTAATCATTCACTGCTTAGTCCCAGGTCCCCTGGGCCTTGCTTCACAGGCTATAATGTTATCTTTGGAAGTGCTATGTGCCTCGGAATTCCCTGAGCTCCTTTGATAAATACAGAGAACAGTTATTATTCCCTGTCATCCCAGGGGGAGGGGAAAGGATGGACTCCTGGACCACCACAGACACCCAACTCAGTTGATGGTCAGATCACATATAAAATGTAAAAGGTATAGTAATTGCCTATATCACAATCCTCCTGTGTACTTTATATCATGTCAAGATGAGTGGTAATTCTAATATGATGAAAATACTACATACATTTTACCTTGTACTATCTAGGAAAGAGTGCTAAGTCCTGTATGTGTCTGATACGGATGCATTTTTTGCTACATATTTTTTATTTGTAGTTGGTTGACTCCATGGATGCAGAAGTTGAAGATTCAGTTGCTCTAAAATATTTTTCTTTTACTTTAGTAGGTAGTTTAGTGGATTTTGTTATTGCTGTTTTGTTTGGAATGATTTTTTTTTTCCCCAGAGAAAGTTATCCATGCAGATTATGTTGGTCTCAATTTGAGATCCTGATACTACATCAGCCTCCCTTGTGCTGAAGTGTACACTATCAGATCCAGTTTGCCCATATCGGGTAGCTCTTGAGATTCTATGAACTGTATAAAGAGGAACCTAGAAGGACTAATAGGCAAGGGCAGCCTGACCCTGGCAGGCAGGGACCTTGAATTCCTCTGGGAACTAATCCCAAGAGAATATTCATTAAGACTTTTTCAGGGCACTCACCCAGATAAAGTTAAAAAGTTGTAACACCTGTCCATGTTTGGCCCTTTAATGCTCCTCTTTCTAAAACACATTCCTCCATCTTTGCAGGAGCTGTAACTGTATTTTGTGAATTCACTGTTCAGCTAATTTTCTCTATGCTCACTCTCATGGGAAATAAGGAGGCATGTGATCCAGGGTTGCTTACACAAAAGGCAGAGCTGGAGAACAGGGGCCAGTCATCAGAATTAACCAATTTAATGCCTGACTTGTTTATCCTACATAGAACATCACCTATGATGCCTCCATTGATCCTTTCAGAATATAGCTTCTTTATCCTAGGCTTCTGCAGACTGTGAAATTAAATGAACAGCTTACCAACAAAGCAGAAGAATTAAAAAGGGAAAGCAACTCCAAGAAGCACACACATGAATAAGGAGCAGGGCACAGCAGGCCTGGGTCCTTTATGCCTATGGTTACAGCCACTGCAGGTGTTGGTATGAAAAGAACAGTTTGGCAAGGCACTAGAACAGCTCAGACACAGGGGTAAGGGGCCACAAGCACAAGAAAGAAACCTTCTATTGTGTAGATGTGCCACATCTTCTACTCTGCAGAAAAAAAAAAATAATGGGACCTTGAAATTCGCAGGCAAGTGGATGGCACTTGAAGAAACCATCCTGAATGAGGTAACCCAGTCACAAAAAAAAGGAACATGGCATGTACTCGCTCATATATGGATTTTAGACCTAGAGCAAAGGATCACCAGCCTATAATTCACACCACCAGAGGAACTAGGATACAAGGAAGATTCTAAGAGATTCATATAAAGTCCTTACAGAAGGGGGAAGGGACAAGTTCCCTAGAGCACAGGGGGAGTGGGGGGGCAGTGAATGGAGAGAGAAGTAGGAGAAAGAGAAGGGGAAGCACATGCGACTAGGAAGATTGAGTCAGGGTAGGTATAGAAGACACAAGAGAGAGAGAGAGAATGAACATACATAAAAGAGGAAGCCATTATTGGTTTGAAGAGAAAATTGAACCTAAAGAAAGGTCTAGAGACCTACAAGACTGCTGCCAACTAACAATTTGAGCAACCGTGGAAAGGGTACCATAAATGCCCTTCCCTGATAGGGAGATCAACAACTAACTTATCCACCATCATGGAGCCCTCATCTAGTACCTGTTGGAAACAGAAGCAAACACCCATAACTAAACACTGAGTTGAACTAGAATTCAGATGCAGAGAGGACAAGACCAGATTGCAGAAACACATAGAGACAACTGACCCGAACAAGGAGGAACTAACAGCCCCCAGACTGATAGCTGGGAATCCAGCATGGTACTGACTCAGACACCCCTGAATATGGGTCTCAGCTAGAAGGACTGAGCAGTCTAAAGGACCTCAGACAGTGGAACCAGGATATATTCCTTGTGCACAAAAAGACCTTGCGGACACATCCCCCATGGAGGGATAACTGCCTTAACCTAGAGACAGGAGAGAAGTCCTAGTCCCTACTTCAAATGACTTGGCAGATTTACATGACCCCACCTGGATAGCATTCCCCTACATATGGAATTGGGGTGGGGGGATGGGAGGGGAGGGTGGTCAGGGTGCATGTGAGGGGGCAGAGAGGGTAAGAGGAAGGGAGGGACAGGGAACCAGAATTGACATGTAAAATAAAAAATAAATAAATAAAAATAAATAAATAAAATACAGTATCCATTTGCACCATAAAAAAAAAAGAAAGAAAGAAACTTCCAGAAGGAACTGCAACTTTGCCACCAAGCACTAAGAATGACACAATCAGAGAAAGACAGGATTTGTTTGGAATTGAAAACCAAATTTGGATAAGCATTTCCCTTTTCTCCAGGGAGCAACAAATAAACGCTCCTCACCCCATGTCCAGGAGGGTAGGGGTGAGTGACTGGACTGTATAGATGTGTGAATGACCTGGATAACCTCAAAGGACTAGTATCTGGGCCTACAAATGGAAATGACTGAATTCTAACCAGGAATAGATTATGCACCACATAAGTATTTCCGTAAAAAAGACTACATATGCATTGATGCTACATGTCAACCACTGTGCTCAGCCCTTCTGTCCCTTTCCTTCTCATGACAAGTCAATTAACAAAGGCATTGTTACACTTACAGAAAGAACAATTTAAAAGATGCAATTAGGAACTTTGTCTACGTGCACTCAGTGAGTGAGCTTGGCTTTGGAATTCAGCTCAGCCCTCACTTTAAATCAGTCTTAGTCTTCACACCATTCCTTGACAAATAACAAAAAGCACACTTTAAGTTCTAATGCCTAAAAGAACAAAGGGCAGGGCAGAAGGCAGAGGAGAACCCTTTTAACTTCATGTAAGTGGTGTGGGGACATTTCAAAAAGCATGGTTAGGTCACCATGGAGTAATTGGAAAATGTGAGCTCTACCCAGTCCACAAGGGCCATGAGTCATGTGTCAGCAGCCAGTGAGGAAGCACAGCAATGGAAATTCATCATCTATCTCCATCAAAAACATGGGTCATGAATCTCCAGGCTCCACTCCTTCCTAAGAAACTATTGGCAGTGGATGGATGATGGGGGAGAGAGAAATTGCCCCTGGTAGGTTTCCCATTCTTCAGTGCATGGCCCCACACATGTGCACATACGGGCAGCACTAACTGGACTTAGTTGGCTATCAAAATAAACGACATGAAGTTAGGAAGGGATATGTTGGGGGGGATATAAGGAAAGTTGGAATGGGTAAATGAAGATTAGATACAATTATGTTTAATCATATTCATACATGACATACTCAATAATAAAAAAATTAAAGAAAAAAATAACTTGGATGCATTATACTTGCTGACCAACAGTAAACGTATGGTATGTGTATGTGTGTGTATGCGTGCATGCATTAGGGACATATATTCATAACATACTTTTGAATATGGAGAGGAAACCTGGGTCAGAAACATGAAATAACCCATAAATGTTCCCATTTCACATGTGTCTGGAAATTTACATCAACCAATGACATTCATGAGAAGATATATTTAAAGCTAGCTCCTAGCTCAACAAACTATTCTATAATGTCTTCATGGGGCAACAAGACTAAGCATAAAGGTAGGAAAGATGATTAGGCAGGACTTCATGTGTGGCTTTGAGTGGCTCTGAAGCATCACCCTACAACAAGTAGTATTCTGAGAACACACTCCTTCCATACTTGCTCACTGGCACTAGGGTTGCAGATTTGTTCAATGGACCCTTTCACGTTGTTATCCTTGCCATCTGGCAATATTAGCTGTCTAATAAATCATTTTAACTTGTGCATCTTTGACAAATCTTACTTTTAGTTGACTTGTGAAACACTCATAAATAGCAAATGCTGCTTGATTAGAATAAATGAAAAAATCCTTAGAGTTGTCAGCAGAAACTAGGCCCTTAGCTGCACATGCTGTCCAGCCTACCCATTTGAAAGGCATCTGGTAATTTTTAGAAAGAAGTCCTCATATATACCTCCTTACGTCATCTGTTATGTATGTGTGCATGTACTCATTTTAATTTGGGTGCATTCTTACAAGACAGCATACTCTGCAGCCCTAGCACATACTCCTGGGTACTCTTGCTTGTATTTGAACCCTATCTCTGCTGCTCAGAAGCTCTGTGAATGTAGGTTCACCCCCAAACTTCTGTTTCTTCAGACTCTAGAATGAAAATAGGTGTAATAAGTTCTTGGTTATCCATTTTCAACCCTTGGAGAATTCCAAGTGTAAAATCAAAACAGTCCTGTATACACAGCGATTGTGTTTGCATGGAAGAAAAGAATGAAAAAGGAGATATCTCTTACAAAACAGGTCATTTGACTAATTTCCAGAACCGAAACAAGAGGGGAGAGATGCTGACTCTTTACCTGGTGTTGCACTGGATACCGTTGGCCACTGCTGATCAGGCCCTCCTGGACCAGCTCGTAGAATGCCAGCCTCCTCCAGGTGCACAGAGCTGTGTAAACATATAGACCCAGATAACAGTTAGACCATAAATGCTTTTCCAGCTCTCCTCCCAACCTCAGAAATTGTCCCCATTATGAAGGGAGGGCTGACTAAGCTGTGACCCAACGCCACTCACTATCCTTCATTTCCAACCTAGAATTTTCTATTTATTTATTTATTCATTCATTTTTGCAAATATGTATGTCCTTTGGGAGTTTGGGGTTGTACCAGCAAATTATATGGACATAAAGATGTAACTTCCCTGCAACCAATTCAGCTCAAAGCAGATTTGAAAAGTGAAATAAGAGTGACATGATGCCTGAGGTTGGACAGGCCAGAAGCCAGTGCACTGTGAAAAGGGAGCATTCTTTAGTTCCCAGCTCTGACACATGTCCAGTGCACTACACTGTGGAAAAGACATAAGGTTTTAATTTCAAATTCAAAGGTATCTCCTTTCTCATCATTTACATCTCTTAATATCCCAACTGAAACCTGAACAGGGACAAATTTGGCTATTTGTTTATGGGACAAAAAAGTGATAATTCCTTTAATATTTTATTTTAAACATAGTTTTTAAAAAGCTGCACCTCACAGCCTTTGAACCTTTCAAGCAAAGCACTAATTCAATCGCAATAGTAAAAGCTGATAGTGTAAAAAAGAGCCTAATTTACTTAATGCACAGCTTCACAAACATCTCAGCTACAGACAAAAGCACAGCTCATCTCTAATGAGTATAAACAATTCCTCAGATGCCTCAAAGAACAGCATCTGCATGAATGTTTCCAGCTTAAAATCATGACCCTGGTTCCAGCATGACATCTCAACAAGCCAGTTACCAATCTTCAGCCCTTCCCTGATTGCTCCTGATTCAGAAATAGCACCCATATAATGATCTCTGATCATTTGTAAGCTTGAGAAGGCACTAATTTATTTTAATCTAATGCATGTTTAATGAGCCAAAATTATATTTTCATTAATTCTACACATTCTATTCTATAAGCTTTCTCTTTGGACATTGGCCTAGGTTTGATGAAGACCTGATTAATAATTGCCCAGATAGTCCGAGGGGCTTAAAGTCTGAAGTTCATTTCTTCTTGAACGTTAAATCCTTTTGTTAATGCAATCATTAGTTTCTTGAACCCCCCATCTGGCTTCCAAAGACAGTTACAAATAATGACTCTTTCATTTGACCCCATGACATGGACACATCAGCTCTGGGAATCAGTTACTGTCAAAGAGACAAAGTAGACAAGACAAAACTATATTAAATCTCGGACTTGAGTAATGCTATTACTCTAAGTTGGTCTAAAGCAAGCTAGATTTGGTCTCCAGATATTCAATAAAGTCCTGAACATGGCTCATCTCTAAAGAGCCCATGATATTGGTAACAATAAGATTGCAAAGTGATGGAGAAGACATAAGATTCTCGCAGGGCAAGTATAAACAACCGCTATCATTTATTGTGGCTAACAGTATGTAATAGGCAGGATAAGCTAGGAGAACAAGGAATATGCAATAGGAAAAGTGTAAGTATATACATTCATAATATACTCAAATCTGAAAGCTTCTCGTTTTTATAAAATAAATTTTTAAAAGTGAGACAGAAAGTGTAGGTGAGAGGGGATGAAGGAGTTGGTATCATCACAGGGAATTTAAAATAGTTTGAAGTTGATACAAAAGTTTTTAAGCTGACACATCCTTGTAGGAATTTTGATGAAAGTACAGAACCCTGCCAGTGATTCCACATGACATTTTCATTTCCCAGCACTCCATAAGCATTTGGCGCTGACTACTTCCAAGGTTTCAAGAAATAATCATGAAGACAAAAATAACTGCATTCCCGGGCAGTTTTTTAAAGCTTCTCAATTTAAACAGCTGCTTCTGGCCCAGGGAGATACAGTTTATCTAACAAAGCCCACTTCAAGTTACTCCCAAGGGAGGGAAAGAAAGAAGGGAGGAAGGGAGGGAGGGAGGGAGGGAGGAAGGGAGGGAGGGAGGGAGGGAGGGAGGGAGGGAGGGAGGGAGGGAGGGAGGGAGGAAGGAAGGAAGGAAGGAAGGAAGGAAGGAAGGAAGGAAAGAGGACACACATACCTGTGCATGCCTGCTCTTAGTGAGGCAGAGTAACGCCAATCAGGGTTGGGCTGTCGGGGCTGCAAAAATCACAAAGGAAGTTTCTGTTAACATGGCAAATAATGTGATCCCAGGGTAGCATTACTCAATTCGTTGCCCCTTAAATATTTTCATGAATGCAATCAAAAATACCAAACTGGACATTTCATATGGAATGCTAACATGAAACAGATAACACAAATCACTTTTAGGAGAAAATTAAATTACATGGCCCAGACTGAATATGAAGGAAATTCATATTTAGGGGTGTTGTGAGGGTCATATTTAGTTCTCCCCTGCCCAACATAAGTCTATGTTCTTAAAACACTAGAGCAGTCTGTCCTGTGACAGGAAAAACTTTCATTGGTTTTACCCTCACAAGCCCCACCTTCAATTCTATAGTCTAGCTATAACAGAGAACATGATTACACAAATTTTGCCGACCTAGCAGAGAACAGCAATCTACTACTGGCTTTGCAGACTGCAGTGTGTTTGACCCGGGAGGGATGTGTCCAATCATAATACTAGCAACTGCTGACAGCCTAATGGAGGAGAAATAGTAGAGAGAAGAAAAAAACCATTGTAGTTTGACCTTGTTTTGCCACCTAAACCTTCTCATAAATCTGTACTGGCTCCCCGCTCCTCTCTCACACTTTACCTCCCCATCCAATCTCTTCACTAGGCTCTGATTGCTTAGCAGGGAGCAGGTGAAGTCCATGAAGACTCTGACTCTGCACCACCTGTGTCCCAGAAAGAAATTCTGTGTGCCTTCTGCCCACAAACTGTCATTCCAAAGTAGAACTGGTAAAGGGGAAAGTGTGGGTACCTGAAGACTGGGTTGGGAGCCATGTACTGGTTACAGTACTCACACTCACCAGAAACAAATCAGGCATGAATACTAAGGTACAGTTGAGTCAGAAAATGGAAATGGGTTGTCATTTGTGCATTCCTCCAGTTACATGATCATAGTCAGCAACATAAAGCTGTAGCAATGCCAATAAGCTATTTCAAAGTACAAACTAGTCTTACCCCCATTGTTCATATTGTCCATGCAAGCAATTCAAAGTATTTTCATAATTCCCAGAGAATTGATGGGGCCAGAATCCCAGCCTTCTAACAGATTTAGAGATGGCTAAGTGGTACCCAGAGAACCCAAACCAAGGCCTAGAAAAGTGACAACTCTGAGTACTATAGCCAAGTCTTGTTGTTGTTCCCTGACCTCTACCCTGCACAAGCTGTCACCTCATTGTCTTGCATTCTGCTGCCAAGATATGTGGATGTTACTGGCTTCATCCTTGGTTTCCAAATCTATACCACGCTATTATTGTTCCGTATAAAGTAGCATAAATCACCCACAGACCATATAACACAAGTTTACATTTTCAACAAGTATTGTTAGAGGCAACAAAAGAGAATGTTTGCAAATAATTTCATGAACCTGAAACCATGACTAAAATATATCTCATTAAGTTCTCGTCATCACCATCTCCTCCTGCCATTGGCAGCACCAGCACCAGTGTCTGCTTGTCCACAGAGAAAATGTTTTTAGAAAGAATCTGACAAATGAAAAGATGTGGATTCCTTCCAGACTAATGTGGTTTGATCACACCAGACCGCCTGAAACAGAGTACAAGCTGATCCTACATTCCAAACAGCTGGACAAAACAGCCCTACAGACTACAGCTAGGATATCTGAATCTTCTTCGAATCCCTTACCAGCAGGAAGTAGTTTGGAAAGAACGACGCCCAAATTCCCAAATATTGTGTATAAATGTTTGTTTTCATTTAATTGGACTTTGTTATATAAAATTAAATAAAAATAAATAAATAAATAAAAGAAAAAAAAAGAAAGAATCTGACATCTGCTGAGTAACTGTTACTATTTTTCTATGATTGGGTAACATTCATGATGAAAATTACTGCAACTTGATCTTGGGAATGAAATCACTAACCTCGATTTGCTGAAAGGCACAATTCTATCAGGACTGAGCAGGAGACTCACTTTATTACACAATTTCACTTCCTCAACAACACAATTAATTTGTCATGTTGCTATTTTCAATAACAGCCAATCGGCAACAACATACTTCTCAGATTCATTTGCCAGAATGGTAGTTATGAGATTTCTTATGGTAATAAGATCAGACAGGGACAAAGAAAGGAAGAAAGCAATTAGTATATTTTGATTCACCATCTAATACTACACAATGAAATAAGTACCTTTATCCTAATACTTTCCTAACCAGATGATACATTCTGTGAAATCGATTGTAACTGTTTTACTGATAAAAATACACAGATATTCCCCACAATATTCATGAACACAGAATTCATGAACATTTAGAATATAGCAGGGGTCTGACATTGGATAGGTTTTTAGAGGTGAGGTGGTGTGTGTGTGTGTGTGTGTGTGTGTGTGTGTGTGTGTGTGTCTGTGTGTTGTATGTTTTAAGACAGGGCTTCTTTGTGCAACAGCCTTGGCTGTCCTGGAACTCATTCTGTAGACCAGGCTGGACTCAAACTCATAGAGATCCATCTACATCTGCCTTCCAAGTGCTGGGATAAAAGATGTGTGCCACCACACCCAACATTTTAGAGTATTTTAAATAAATGAACTGTCACACAAGTTGTGGTAATTGTACTTAAATTATAAAAATGAGTGTTCTTCAAAGACACTAAATTTGCTTGGTTGGTGAGTACATACCTAGACACTGATCCATCTTAAAAGAATATAAAATTAAAAGCCAAAAGTATATGTGGGTTTCATACAAAATTTGATTAAATTTGGAAAAAGTTCAGGTTGAAAGGCTGGCAACCGATGTGTCTGCTACAAGACACTAAGGCCTTGGACTAACTATGATTATTTACCTCTAAAATATTTGAATATTACATCTCTTGGTTTTGTTCATATGTTTGTTCATTTGAGAGAAGCTATCATGTGCCCAGGCTGGCTCAAACTCACTATGCCAAGGCTGTCCTTGAACGCTTGATTCTCCTGTCTCCCCCTGCTAACTACTAGGATTGCAGACTCATGCCACCACACCTTTATGTGATGAATTTCCATTGGTGAAGTACTCCAGTTAGTCTTTTAATACAATAATGGTCGTGGAACTCTAGTTGCAGAAAAAAGTCAATTAGGTAATCCATGTGGGTGATGGAATATTACTGAAGAACTAGCACTGACTTGAGTTCCTGCTAAAATTATAGCAAGAATTTAATTTATCCTGTCATGAATTATTTGTAATTTATGCCATAGGATACTTAACAGAAGACTGAGTCAATTCTAAGGAATTTAAAGTAAAACAGGTTTAAAATATCATGTTATTCATAAACTCACATGAACACTCAGTGAAATAAAATGCTGTCTTTTCAGCCAGGTGGTGGCGGCACATGCCTTTAATCCCAGCATTGAGGGGGCAGTGCAGGTGGATCTCTGTGAGTTCAAAGCCAGTCTGGTCTACAGAGTGAGTTCCAGGATAGCTAGGGCTATACAAACAAACTTTGTCTTGAAAAACCAAATGCTAAAAATTAAAAACAGCAACAACAAAAACCAAACCACTGTCTTCTTACTATGTATATCGATGTTGAATTTGTCAATAAACTGCTCTTTGAAACTTGAAACTATATGTAATATATCCTTTTTCATTCAGAATGTATCTACAGCCATTTTTTCAGAGTGCTGTCTAATAGACATTGATCTAAATTGCAGTAGGCAGAGTGCTAAGACAACCTCAAAACCCCCACATCAAATGTACATGTCCTGTATAATCTCAAGACTCAGATTGTGGTGACTTAGCCTCATAATTGTGTCTTTTTAAAAAAAAAAAAAAGGGGGGGGAGTATTCAGGTAGGACTAACCTAGTCACAAAAGCCTTTGACATCCAAGTCTAGAAATTCCAGATAGAAAAAAGTCAGAAAGAGGGGAAACATGAGAGAGACTCCATGTGACTGGTGATTCTCTAAGGCCAGCCCTGAGAGTAAGTCATGGCAGGACCTAAGAGAGACCTCTCTGAGCTGAAAGTAATGACCCCTCCTTGGTCCTAGTAAAAAGAGATAAGCCATCATAGGATTCTGTCCCCAAGGAGTAGAATTCTGCCAACAATCTAAATGAATTTCCAGGTAAATTCTCCTCCAGAACCCCCAAAAGAGTACCTAGCAAATCGTTGTTGAAGTTTTTAGCTTTATGAAAACTGAAGTGAAAAACTCAACCACACAGTGCAGGACCATGAGACACTAAATGGATGAGGTTTTAACCACTAATTCATGGTAATTTGTTACAAAGCAATAGAAAAGGAATGCATTAGCTATAACACTGAAAATAATCACGACTGTATATTACATATTGGACTTTCAGTAAATCAAAATTTGGAAGAAGATAAACTTGGGGATTCGGGGTAGAAACCTTCCTTCCAAGTACAACATATAAACTCGAAGCTACAGGGCAGAAAGGAAAATAAATTAAAATATGCATGATAAGTTCTAGTCCAACAGAAAGTGCAAGGTCTGATTATTCTGGATGCAGAGCCTACAGTACAGCAGCTATCCTCTTACACACATCGCACCTCCCTGGAACCAGCAAGACCGGAAAGAAACTGACATTCCTCTTCACCTTTACAATGTCAGATATTTCTTTGCATGTGCCACGTTCAAATTCTTGAAAAGAAAGAGCCTGCATGATTTTTAGGTTAGCAGATTTAAAACATTGCTAAAGAGTTCTCTTGACCTCTGAACTTTAATACCATAGTCACAGATTATACTGGTCAAAATATTACATTAATCAGGTAAATTATGTTCATATTATAATATACATGAACATTCTGATCCATGTGAGGTCCTTAAAAAGTCACATTTAAAGACATCTGTAATAATGAACAAACATTCAAACAAACAAACAAAAAAAGCTAGGCAGTGGTAGTATACACTTTTAGTCCCAGTACCCAGGAGGCAGAGGCAGGTAGACCTATGAGAGTTAAAGGCCAGCCTGGTCTATAGAGTGAGTTCCAGGACAGCCAGGGCTACACAGAGAAACCCTGTCTTGATA